CTTGACGCGGAACCAAAGATGTCTCCGCCGCCAATGGTGCGATGAAAGAAGGATGTGGGTGGCAGAATGGAATGAAGTTGTCTTTACTGACGAGTCACGCATCTGTCTGCAACATCACGATGGTCGGATTCGAGTCTGGAGAGAGGATGCTGAACAGCTGCGTAGGTCCTGCACCGGGTATTATGGTATAGGGCGTTATTGGATATCACTCTCGCACTCCTCTAGTACGCATTGCCGGTACTTTATACAGCCAGCGCTATATCTCCGAGGTGTTGGAGCCAATTGTCCTTCCTTACCTTCAGGGCTTGGACACAGCCATATTTCAACAGAATAATGCGCGACCACACGTTGCACGCATTGTCCGAAGGTTCTTCGTCAATCACCAGATTGAATTGCTTCCCTGACCGGCTCGCTCTCCGGATCTTTCGTCGATAGAAAACATGTGGTCCATGGTTGCTCAACGATTGACCCAGATTACACCCCCAGCGGCCACACCAGATCAACTTTGGCAACGTGTGGAAGCTGCTTGGTCTGCTGTACCCCAAGAACACATCCAAAGTCTCTTTGAATCAATGCTGAGGCCTGTGGCAGCGGTGATCTCCAACAATGGCGTCTACTCTGGCTACTGTTTCTGGCAGGAACCACACTTCACATAAGTCTATAAATATAATCATTTGATAATTGGTCAACATGTTATCTACAAAATAAATTTTGTTGTGATATCTCTTGTCTTTCTTGGTGTTGCATTTATGGTGGCCAGCAGTGTAATTAGTGCAAGAAACGTTTTTTTTTTCATCGTACTCGTTAAATCGGAGGAAATATTTTATTGACTGTATAATATAATGAAACTATGCCCATCTGTCAACGAGAACGCTCTGAAAAACTACTAGACTCAAAAAATTCCCGGAATGGCCACCTTCATTCACAAAGGTTTACGTTGGATTGGAAATATCTCTTTTGGCCAGTGGCGTAGCGTACACTCCCGCATCGCGGGGGGGCCAGTGTTCTAAGGGACCCGGACTGTCGGCAAGTACCTACCCTTTGTAAAATCCAACTTGGAGGCCCAAAACCTGACTTTGCAGGGGGGTCCAAATGTTCTCCCTTACGCCACAGCTTTTGGCGGTTCACAACACTAATATGAAAAACACATGGCCACCTGAAATTCACTTCTGGTACTGTTAGCGTTAGCTGCCGATCATTTCTGACAAAGGGAATTTTTCATTCGTAGAATTTTGAAATGTCGTTTTTGGAGCAGTGTGCAAATATCAAATTCCACGTTTTTCTCGAGCAATCATCTTCTGAGATACTCAAAATGCTAAATTAAGCAAACGGAAACGATGCCATGAAAAAAAACGGCTGTGTACGATTGGCATAAGCGTTTTCGTGAAGATCGCACAAACGTCAAAGATGACTTACAGACTGGGTGCCCCTCTCACTGGCGTAGTTAGTTCTGAGTGGGCCCTGTATCAATATTTTAGGTATGAAAACCCTGTTTGTGGGACTGTAGTTACACATATTGGGGCCCCTGTAGCTCGGGGACCCCATATCATTGATACGGCTGATAGTGCAATAGCTACGCCCCTGGCCCCTCTTCTACCACAGATGAGAATGTTGAGCGCGTTCGAGAAATCATGTGTGCGGACAGACGAATAATCATTGATTATATTGTCTCTGAACTTTGAATTTCACATGGCAATATTCACGACGATTTTAAAATGAACAACATCGTGTTTGTTTGCACATGGTTCCAAAAATGTTATCATCTGAACAAAAAGAAATGAAAGTGAACATGGCCATGAATTTGATTGACAAGGCTGATGAAGATGACAGCTCCTTGAAAATCATAATAGATGATGAGACATGATGTGTGCTTTCTTATCAACCCTCAGACAAAACGTCAGTCAAATGAATGGAAAGCAAAAACATCACCAAGGAAGAAAAATTTCGCTTTGATAAAAGCCGAGGGAAAATGCGATGAAGCAACTGAAGGTCCTCTCAAAAAATGGATTCCAGGAATGTTTTGAACAATTATACGAACTCTAGAACAATTGTGTGGATGCAGGGGACAGTACTTTGAAGTCTAATAAGATTAAATTACCGTTCTATGCTTCGATACTTTGTAATTGATCTATTTCGGGAATATTTGACCCTACCATACATAACGCTTGCCAAACCTGAATTAAACATTTGTACGATTATTTTTTCAATGTTCATATTGTTCACCGTTTTATTCCATTTATGTCAGCATTTTTATACTTAAGTAATTCATTATGTTTGTGAAAACAATTAAATATTTATTCTATTTTTCTTCTTCTGAACAGTTGGATAAACAGAGAACCAGAACTGTCCACAAGACCTTGAACCCAGAATTCAATGAAGCTGTTAGTTTTTATGGAATCTCCGACTATGATATAGCAAAACGTACACTCAAGTAGGTTTAAAGGTTCTTTCTCCCTCTGTTATGAAAATTTTAAATTATTTTTATGTAGTAAGTATCAGTAAAAAAAATATCGAAAATATTTTACAAGCTAATTTTATTTGTATAGTCAAAAAATGGAGCATTCATAGTAATTTTTGTTATTTTCGTCTCAACTGGGTGAAAATGGTATCGCAGTGTTAATTGCAGGGTTAATTAACATAGTTAATACACTTCCAAAAAGAATTTTTCTATCCTAAAACTGTTATTTTTATTTATTTATTTTTTTTGCAGAGTTGTCATTTTAAAATGATCTCAATACACAGTGGCGTAACGGAGAGCATTTGGGACCCCCTGCAAAGTCAGGTTTTGGGCCCCCAAGTTGGATTTTACAAGGGGTAGATACTTGGTGGCAGTCAGGCTTTAGGGTCCTCAAGAACCCCTGCCCCCGCAATGCGGGGGTATACGTTACGCCACTGTCTCAATAGCTCATGTTACATATTTCATTGGAATCCGATCTTTAGTTCCGGAGATTTTCAGGAGGAATTGTGTATGTCAGGGGCTATACAATATAATTCTGTTTTTCTCGTTTCTTAACCATTTGTTACATAGGTAGGAGAAAGTTATGTAGTTAAACATATGGCGTATATTGAACGTTGGTTAATTTTCGAGTTATTAAGCAGCTTGTAATGTTAAAAACTTAAGAAACACATGTAGATTTTAATTATTTAAATTAAAATTTAGTACCTGTTGCGTGAAATAACGGAGCAACAAGCAAATGCTTTAAGTGGGAAGGATATATATAAATCTGATACTTCCAACAAACCTAATGATATGATGAAGGGTGTCAATTTTCTATATTTTCAAAAATGTTCTCGTCCTCACTAACCAAGTGCTAAGGAACTTTTTTTAAATTTTTCCCGAGACAGGTATTACCTCACCTTTCACCTTGCCCCACTTATCGTTAAGTTTTGAGACAGTGGTGTGGGTAAAACGGACGTGGTCAGAGTGGACACTCCGAAACTCATCGTGGTTAGAGAGGACACATATTTCCCCATCTTAGGACAGATAAAGGGTACAGATAAATAAGTATAAATAAATGCTTTTAAAAATCATAAATATAATTTAAAACATTATTTTAAGTGGAAAATCACTTTCACAAAAAAAAGTCATTTTTTTTAACTGAAGTTTTCTATTTTTGACTCGATTATCGAATTACAAGAATAAATACATTTTCGTCAATCAAATTTAATTATTTATATTAAATTGTTAAGATATTATAGTGCGAATGCATTTTAAATATAGCGAAATGTAATAAAAATAAAAAATTTCAGAGAAATATTTAAAGAATAATAGTAAGTAACAGTATAATGAAGGGTCGAAATTGCGCAACAGATGACATGTGACCAGTAGCGCACACAGGAATTTTTAGGGGGTCCGGGGTTGAAAGTTCACCATTCTTGTATCAAGTTATTTTTGATTTTGTCGATTTTCAGTAACAAAACACATTAAAAAACTAATTATTGAATAAAAATTAGTATTAATTAATAAAATTAATCATTAATAACAAATATTTAATTAAATTTTACGTATTATATACTTAGAATTATAACCAATCGGAAATACAAGGGCTTTGGGGGTCCGGACCCCCAGGACCCCCCTTGTGTGCGCCACTGCATGTGACTGATTAGGGAAACAACAAAATAGGCGGAAGAATATCCGCTCTGCCCACCCAACTTCGGTCTGCGGTAGCCCAGTGGTCAAGGTATCGGATCATGGCAGGCATGTCATGAGTTCGAGCCCAGTACCTCTAAAGACCCACCATGTAGGGCAGCGATGCACGTTATATCTTTTCGAGAGCTGAAACGTCCCCCCGTTGGTGTGGTAGTTAGGAGAGGGGGATGCCAGCTCGGGTGTCGTCCACGTCACTTGACCATGGTTCAAAATTTCGTGGTCCGTCGCCAAAAGCCCTCGCTTAGCTAAGCAGTTGCGACGTTAATATTCACTCGCCCACACTACTTCTCTCACGTGTCCGCTGTAGCCACTGTCCGCGCCGGCCACGTAACCTTCGACACACACCAACTACTTCAAATACCTATGAACTTCAAATAATTTAATTAATTGAAAAAAGGAAAGAGACAATGTATTTTTTTAAAAAATCATATAAAGATTTTTTGAAGTTATACTTCTTTTGGGACGTTAGAGAAATAGGATGAGGGTAAATTTTTACAATGCGCGTGCACCCCGCCACGGATGTGATGCAGAACTGTCATGGATGTGACGCACACCGTCACAAATGCGAAAATCCTTTGTCAAGAAATATACAGAATGGGATAAACCATTCCCGCCTTCGAAATTCTCAGAAAAATATTTCTCTTCACTTCCCTGAAGAAGGGACACCCGGGTTTGAACCTCCCGATCTGCAGTCGAATGCTGTACCACTGAGCTATACCCCCGCGTCAGCGAACCTTTGCTTTGTGTTCCGTAGGAACAGATACGAAAATGCTTTGATTAGAAATATGCAGAATGGGACAGATCATTCCCGCCTTCGAATTTCTCAAAATATTTCTCTTTACTTCCCTGAGAAGGGAATCCGGTATGAACCGGGGACTCTCGATCTGCAGTCGAATGCTCTACCACTGAGCTATACCCCCGCGTCAGCGAATTTGCTTTGCGTTCCGTAGGAACGGATACGAAAATGCTTTGTCTAGAAATATGCAGAACGGGACAGATCATTCCCGCCTTCGACCCCCATATTATTGGTCCTATTGTTCCTGAGCGGAGGTGTTTAAATTTATTTAAATCGTGATTATCTCAGGTTTGGGGCTGGTCCGATTGACTGAAGGTTAGTATCGTTCAACTCTGCTCGTGACCGCCTTTTCGTCCTTGGCTCAGCTTCTGCCCTGCTAAAGCATTTTAGAAAGATTTTAATCTTGTTACGCCAAAGAAGTATAACTTCTTACGTGCGTACATAAGTACACACACACTTTTTTATATATAGTTCTAGTTTTATAGTTTAGTCCTAGTTTATATAGTTCTAGGGTTTTATTAGTTATAGGGTTCTAGAGGGTTAAGAAACAGAAATTCTAAAAATATACGGTTTTTGTATAATTTTCTTTTATGATAGCTTTCATTTGTATCTAATTGTAAGGCAGAAAATATATTTGTTGTGTTGAATTTGCATCAAATATTTTGTGTAGGATGACTGTCATGGACGAAGATACACATTGCAACGAACCAATGGGTGAGATTCGTATTGCCCTGAAGAGACTTAAACCACAACAACCGAGCTATGCCAATGTATACTTAGAAAAGCCGAGAGTAAGAATTTTCATTTTATTTGAACTATTACATAATGTGCTCCAAGAGATTAAACTAACTTCTAAATTTTTCCCCTCAAGAATCATAAATAACAGGAAAATATTTGAAATTCAAAACAAAAACAAAAAACTTGATAATTTTTGAAAATCAGTTACTGTGTTTTTGTTCGTTTTTAGCTTTAAAAATTATAAAAATTTTCTTTTTAAACGTTTTTAACAAAAAAAAATTTAATGGTCAGTATTTAATTTAAAAAAAATATTCAAATGCAAAAATTACCATCTTGTAGTAAACGTCAAATAGCAGATAAACTGTTGATAAGTTTTCAGTGTTTTGAACATAAATACATGCCAGAGACAAAATCAGAGATTTTGAATACACGAATAAAGCACCGCAGAAATAACAACAGTTTTAAAAAGGATCTCTACTCAAAGCACAAGAATTTCCAATATGTGTTATACGAAGCTGGTCAAAAATTCCAGAGATAAGCTTCTAATATTAAGGTGAAGTCAACCAATCTATGTTCAAAAGTGCAATTTGCAGTAAAATGCATCTCGTACAAAAGAAGAACATATTTAAATTCCAAACAAATGCAACAGAATTATAAACTTTCTATACATTCTTGCTTTAATCGCACATTTTATTGCAGTATATATCACAGTGAAATCTCCAGTGAAAATATTGTTACGAGAATTTTATGCTATCAGTCTTAAAGAGCAAGACAATTCTTCGGGAGCAAAGAAAAGTTTATTGTAGAAAAACAATTCTTGAAATCCAGGTTACAGCACCAAAATTCACTTAATAAATCCCAGTAGTCACACCTTACACATCGCTCAGACTCAATTATGAGTGTCTAAAAATACAAATACGTAATGATTAAGATTATTCACAAGCACATGCTCGACAGTAGCAACTAATCGCTAGTCTACTCTTCAACAATCAAAACAATACTAACTCCGTTTTAGCTAGCGACTACAATTTATAGGCTGCCTGGCTGCCTTCTCACTCTTTCCCGAAAGATCCGCTTACGTCACAGATCGTGATATTAATAGATTTCTTCAGTAATTTCCAGAAGCATTTATATGGTAGCCAAGTTTCCACTAAATCGTCATTTTAATGTAAGGAATGGCGTTGCTTGCGAATATATATTACAGTTTTAACATAAAATAAATACAACAGAAAGTAATATTAACGTATTACACATCCAGATATAAATTATTTACACTATTTTAAGTGTTCATTAAACAAAATTTACAGCAATATTTTTTGCTGATAACGCGAAACAACGTTAACAACCATTGTGTGCGTTCATTTGCGTGGATTGATGTATGAACAAGTGCAAAAAGATCTTACCTGTTTCGGAAGCCGGGTCCCACTAGATTAGCAAGACATTGATTCATAAATTCAAGTGGATTAGAAATGTCGCCGCTAAACAACGTCTAGAAAAGCCACCCATAACATCAGACACTGTGCAACATGTAGAAGATGGCGTCACACACAACACACACGTAGCTCCTTCTCATCTAAGGTTTATCATAAAGCACTGCAGGTAGTACTGTACGCTACAAAATGAAGGAACATACATATCACAACCAGTCCAGGTTGTGCATGTTTAAAACAAAGGAAAACGCAGCCTGGGAAGAGATATACGTCATGACCTCCTATAAGCTGCCGAAAACTACAATTTGATGCATGAAATTCTTTTCAGCGATGAAGTTACATTTCCACATATGTTGGAAAGTTAATAGACAAAATTGTAGGATTTAGACTAAGTGTGTCTCGTTGCACTGCAAAAATGGCAATGAGACACACTCGAAATGAGATTCATGAGGTCAAAGATCTTTGAGCTCTTCATGAAGAGAATTATTGGTAACGCAGTTGTTGCCAACGTCTCGATATGTTGTAGCAATTCTTGGAGCCACAATTGAGAAATGATGGGATCATGGATACCGTTATGTTCCTAAAGATAGAGCAACACCTCCAGTTTGCCTTGATTAGTCGGAATTACTTCAATCATGCTTTTCCGGACTTCTCTAGGTCAGAGACTACTCAAGAATGAATAGTTTACCATCCGCATTTCTTTGCATGGGGATTTATAAAATTCAAAGTGTACCAGGAGAAAATATGCAACATTGAACAGCTTAAAAAATGGATTACCGCCACCATTGAGGAAGTTACACCAGCTACGTTGTACCATGCTTTCTGGGCCACGGTGAAACACTTCTTGCTGTGTCGTGATATATAAGGGGGACACATTGAAATTTACTAAAGGTGTGTGTCCTGAGTAATAATATAATTTATGTAATAAAATGTGATTATATCACAAGACTGTATAGTTGCTTTATAATCACTCTGTGGCCACCCATCTGGTATAGTGGTTAGTGACACTGACTGCTGTGCCGTAGGATCTGGCTTTGAATTCCGTAGAAGGCATAGGTTTTTATAAATGTATAATGTGACTTTGTGGCATGGGGGTGGTACTCTAAATAGCCGTCGAGCCGCAATTCCTCTCGTGAGGTTAGTGGAAGAGGGAAAGAGGTGGGAGACCCCTAACCACTTCCAGGGTGTTCTCCCTCAAAATTGGGGTGTAACTGACTGTAGTGTAATCGTACTGTCATTTGTGTGGTGCTCAAAGCTACGGATAACGACAGGCGTACATCTAGCCCTTTGCCGTGATGAATTTCGTAGGCCTCGATCTGACGTCATCAGACAGGTGGCATTCGTAAAAACAGCAATAATAATCACCCTGTATACTAATGCAGCTGAATACTTTCATCTGCCCACTGCCTTGTACCGTTAATCTTATGAAATCAGAAATAAACTTCTCAAAATTAAGTTAATATATTTATTTTAACGCAATAAAATGTTTTAAAAGAGTAAAAAAGGAAAGTTCATGTATCTGAATACACTTTTGAGCAAGTACTTTTAAATATGTTTTAAATATTTAAAAATCTGTAGAAAAATCACTGAAATAGTTATATGAATACTTTCAAAAAAATAGGAAGAAAGATATATGATCATATAATAATCTTAATCATTTTACAAATTTCTTTGGGGGCATTGTATTTTTCTTTTTTATCAAATTTATTTGATAAATTTCAGAATTAGTAATTTTCCATAGGATTAACATTGTGTCTGAAAATTCATAATGGAACGGAATCTGGAAAACGTAAAAATAACCCAGTAAAAAATTTAAGTAAGAATATTTTATGGGTTTTAGCAGGGTTTATATATATATATATTTCTAACACATTTCAGTGCTCTCATCTTTTGTTGTTCGAACTTTAAGTATCGAAAAAACGGTTCGAAATGTAACTATCCCTTTCTTATTTGTTGAACATGGGAGATTCAGGAAGAGTTTTTTTTTTTTGTTTTACTTTTTTTTCGGGATTCACACACACACAGAGTTTTCAATTCTTCACATGAAATTTAAAAATACGTATAAGTAAAAATAAGTATCGCCAAATTGCAAATTAGATTAATTTTTTTTCTGCTATATTGGATAAGAATGGCATTACAATCATAAAGACAGAACATGAAATGTAAGGTAAGGCTATTGAGATGAACGATTTTCGCAAATCTATATAAATAAAAATGAATGTTTGTGTGGGTCTGTATGTCTGTTATTTCCTTCCTAAACCGTTCATCCCATTGTGATGGAACTTTGGGGAATGGTTGGACGCATGCCCGCCTAGGTTTCTGAGTTAGCAAAACTATGTTTCGATAGATGTCCAAGTGGCGTTGCGGAGGATTAAGGGGCGTTATAGATAATTATTTCCATTTTTAAATTATTAGACGCGTACAGTATTGGAAAATAACAAGCAGATTTCTTTCATGGAGTAGAGATTTGGTACGAAATGGATTTTGCGAAAATCGACCCTCATAGGGTATTGCGAGGGTTTAAGGGCGGGGCGTAAAAGTTAAATATTCCCGTTTTCGAAATATTAGACCTACAAATTTCAAATTTGATAGGCTAATACCTTTTATAGAATAGAGTTCCTCTAAGAACAGGTTATGCGAAAATCCAACCTCAAGGGGTGGTGCTTGGGCTTAATTGGCGTTGGGGATAAAAGTTCCCGTTTTTGAACTATTAGACCTTCAGACTAGAAATTTAATAATCCTGTGCTTTCCATGGAGTAGAGATCAACTAAGAAAAGTTTTGCCAAAATCGACTCCTAAAGGGTTAAGTGCCGTTATAGATTAATATTCACGTTTTTTAACTATTAGGCCTGCAGATTCGAAATTTGGCTGGTGTATTCCTTTCAAGGAGTAGAGAACCGCTACAAAAGGGGTGAAAATTTAACCCCAAGGAGGTTGCGAGTGGTTAAAGGGGTGT